TCAGGCCTCTGCCCAGGGCTGTCGATAGGCCCTGGCTGGGGCAATCCTGGGGCTTCTGACCTTACTCCAGCCTGTATTTCCTCTCTGGGCTGCTATTGTCACCTTAGCTGCTACCGCCACTAGGCCAGAAAAACTCGCTGGGCAGGACTGGCTGCTACTAACTAGCATCAGGCCTGACTTGGTTCTTGGGGCCCAGCCCCTCATCCCCCCTGGGTAGGTATGTGTGGGGGGGTCACACACAGAAACAAACACATCCCTGACTCCTCAGAGAGGGAGGCACACATACAGTCACTCACACAGAGCAAGAAGAGAGGCACACACACAAACGCCCAGACACAATGGAGACAGACACCTGGCACACACAGGCCAGGACACAAGCACAACCCCCAGGCACTGCCCAATGTCATGGACCAGCTCCAAGTGCCCCTCTTCTGGCCGCACCCAGGCTCAGACCCCTTCTGGGCTGCTAGCCATCTTCCAGATGAGGAGGGCTCAGTAGGGCCATTTGCACTCAAGCCATCCCTGTCAGTTCAGGGGTCATCTGGACTCAGATTCAGTTCCCCCTACATGTCCTGCAGCTCCCCTAGGTCTCAGGGTGAGGGTCAAGGTCTAGAGCATCCCCAGAGGGCAACCCCTAGTCTAAGGGGTTCTCAGATACCTCAAAGCTCCACTTGGGTCTTGAAGGATGGCTAAGACCAAGACCAAGCAGAAAAAAATGAAAAAGTGTTCTTGGTGAGTCACAGGTGAGGGCCTGGGGAGTCTGGGAGACAGAATGGCTGTGGGAGAGAGACTGCTCCAGGTGCTGAGTCCTGGGAGTCGTCAGATGGGCATGGCCCTTCCTGGCCTCAGACAGGTGTGGTAACTAATCAGGCCAGGGGCTGTCACAGCAGCAGGGACCACACCCGGGTCACACATAGCAGCGTTGCCAGCACTGCTGCCCCTGGCTGTGGACAGGCCCCTCTCCTCTCTGGGCTTGCTCTCCTGGCTATAGAACAGGAAGTTTGGACCAGGTGGTAGAAGGGACAAAACTTGCCATTTACTGAGTACCATGCACATGATCTAGAAGCTGGAATATGCAAGCTTCCCAAATTTGAGAATTCTGGAATTCTCATGTTGGAAGGTTCTAGATTTCTGGGTCTCTTGCCCCATTCCCACATCTCATCTCCTGTTCTCCCCTGCCTGACCCTCCTACGTGATCAGGGAAGGCTTCATTCTGAATAACTTTCCAGGTAACTGAGGATAACCTTAAACACTAAAATGTTTAAAGTTGTGGTCCTTTGGAGTTGAGATCTTTTTCAAACCTACCACAACCTGTCTGCCCCCTTACCCAGAGGAGAGGGGCCACCTGTACCCCAGCATCCTCCCTGGGGCCAGCACCAAGTCAGGGCCTTCTGCCTCTGCACCAGGTAGCCCAGATGTGGAGTTATTAGGGTCCCTTTTTCCTGGCTTCTCACCTGCCTAGCCTTTGGTTTCCTCACTCTACTACTACTGGATGTGACATTTCTGTACACCACAGCCAAGTCCTGGGGCCAGGAAACCCTGCACTCCCAGGGACAGTTCACTAGGAAGTCACTAGGCTCAGAGGCTGCTTCAAGGGAAGTTTGTGGTTTCCGGGAGCTGCAGGCCAGACAAGGAAGAAGGTACTGTCTGCTTGCCTGCCCTCTTTTCCATCCAGGAACATGGACAGCCCGTGACTCTGACCGGCTATTCCACAGCCGACAACATGAGTGGCTGTCACCTAGGAACAATGCTTGCTGATGGCACAGAAGCAGCCTTGTCTCAGGTTCCAGAATCATTGTTCCATCTGACCACAGACCCTCAGGCATTTTCTAGCCTCAGTTTCTAGCCTTACCTCCCTTTGGAGGTAAGCCACCCTGAGAACTAGTCTCATCTTAGAGAGGACAACAGGCCTGTTTCTGGGTCTGGATGCCTGGAGGGCTGGAATCACAGCTCAGAGCTGACAGAAGAGGGTTTCAAGGACAAAGTACCCCAAAGAGCACTTAAGCCTTGGGCTGTGACATTCCATTTCCTGAGTCTAGTCTCCCAACTAGGCTAGACCCTCAGGACCTACTCCTCCCTCCCTACCTTTTTGGTGTCTAGTGTGCAAGCCTTGATGAGCAGTGGGTTACAAGAAGGCTGTACAAGGGCTGAGGAACCCACAGACCCCCTGACTCTGACGGAGGCAGTCTGAAGCAGCTCTCAGAAACTGGTCCATTTTACCTGGGCCTTGAAGTATGAGTAGTTTAACTTGAGAAGAATTTGGAGGAAATAGTATATGCAAAGGCCTGGAGATATGTTTGAAAGTGGAGAAGGGTTCTGTGTGGTTTTGACTCATTGACTTGGTCAGGATGGGGGAATCCAACTTCGTCCCGTCCCCTAAACTAGAGAGCGTTTATCTTAAACAGCTCTTTATCGCAAATCTTTAATCTTAAACGTTTAACGAAGCAGCACACAAGCCCCAGGGCTGACAGGTAGAGGAAGTGAGCAGCAGGCCTGGGCAGCTGGGGGTGACAGACGAGCACTCAGTTCAGGTCCTGGGAGTACTCGGACTGTGAACCTCAGGAACTCAGGCTGTTGTCAAACTCTGGCTTATAAATGCACCGTGTCCAAAATTGTTTAACAAAATTTACATTTAGAACCCAGGAGTTTTGTTTTTGTTTTTTTTTCTTTTTCTTACTATCAAGTTTCCAGACCAGTGTTTGGTTCTCATTTAGTCTCAAACAAAAAGAGAACACAGCCTGTGGCTCAGGAGGTCAAGGGGCCATCTCCTTCCCAGTGGCTATCTCTGCCCCCAGCACATACACCTAGCCATGCCCACAGGTCCTCAGGCTTTCCCTGCTGTCGGCCCTACCAGCCTAGGTAAGATGCCCACCTATGGACAGGTTCCTAAACTAGCTTCTTCCTGGGGGAGCTGGAGCTATTCTGTGTTCCCCTGAGGCCACCAATCTGGCCAGGTAGGCTCTAGTGGCCCTATTGGTGGCACCTGCACAGCTGAGAGTCCCAGGCTTGCCTCATCTCACTTGTGGGGAGTACATCAGCTGAGGCCCAGAATGGTGAGCTGGAATATAAGTCCAAGCAGGTTTACTGTAGAGCTGGAAAGGGTAGCTGTGATTTGGCCAGGAGAAAGGATGAGAGAAGGAAGGCCTCTTGGGAATCACAGCCCAGGTCACAACACAGCATAGTAGGGCTGGACTTAGAATGACAGGATCTGGGACATTATCAACATCACAATTGGAATCAGTATTATTGGTATTGTTATACAATGATAACCAGTCAGGGAGCACTTTGGAGTGACACTTGACATGTAGAAACTCAGATGTGGCCCCAGCTCTGGCCTTTGCTGTTGTGTGACTCTGGGCAGGTCATGGCTGCACTCAGGGCCTCAGTTTCTCCACTGTACGAGGGGCACGATTTGTTTCTCCTGGCCTGCGCAACGAGGAAGGGAATGACGATGGTTTGTGCTGCCCATTGTCCCTACCCACACCAGCACCACCTCTGGCCTCGATCCTGCATGGCCTGAACCGGGGTGGGATAGGCAGTGTGTGGGAAGGCACCGGGCAAGTCGCTCTGCCCAGTCCCAGCCAGAGAGGGCTCCACCCCGCCAGCCAGTTTGGGAGAGACAGGCTGTCTCCTCAGCTGGGCTAGAAGGCATGTGAGAGGATTTGGTGGAAGGCGGGGCAAAGGCTGGGAGGTGAGAAAGGGGCTCACGGATCACATCAGAGAGTAAATAAAGGAAATGAGGCTGGGCATGTAATCAGAACCAGATCTTGAGTCTGAGGTGTCACAATGTTATTCCGAGGGCAATGGAGCACCATAGAAGATTCTTGAGGTGGGTACAGATATGGATGAGAAGGACATGAAGCACCCAACACGCCTAAGCTCCTCTCACACTGCCAGGCTTTGGTCTGAGTCAGGATAGTCTTAGGACTCACTCACTCCTCAAGGGACTGCAAGGTCCGCAAAGGGTGGGGAGAGGGAGAAGAATGTCAAGGTTGAGGGGGATGTCGAGGAAAAGAGATACTGTCCGATCACCTCTCTCAGAAAAACCCATTTAATGTTGCCAATAAGCCATAGTCAGAATTTTCTGAGCACTTACCCAGAAGGATAGTGTTATGAGGTTCAGAGAAGTTAAGTGACTTGCCTAAGATCCCATGGTAAAAAAGTG